GAACTTTCGATATCATTCTCTAGGTATGGGTTACAGGCCTGCGATAATTCTGGAATTATAATTAATTGTAGTTGCATGAAAATGGCAACCTAAAACGTAAAATAGTATACAGTGTGTCTTACTTCCCATGGAAACACCCCCGTATCTTCCGTAATATTCGAGGTGCAACGATGAAACTCTCAGGACTGATGGAAATGCTCAAAATGCACCTACCACCTGAATGGGGTTGGCCAAAGTGATATACACTGTCCGCCACTCGCGATGGAATACCTCATTTTTACGGTAAAACATTATAGGGGGTACAATAGGCTCAAAATTCCTTCAGATTCGTGATCAGGACTACCAACTTACTACGAATACACTTTTTTCCTGAAAAAATTTCAGTCCTGAAAAATCCGAATTTGTCTCACTTCTTATGGATACACCCCCGTATCTTCCGTAATATTCGAGGTGGAACGATGAAACCCTCAGGACTGATGGAAATACTCGAAATGCACCTACCACTTGAATGTGGTTGGCCAAAGTGACATACACTGTACGCCACTCGCGATGGAATACCTCATTTTTACGGTAAAACATTATAGGGGGCAAAATAGGCTCAAAATTCCTTCAGATTCGTGATCAGGACTACCAACTTACTACGAATACACTTTTTTCCTGAAAAAATTTCAGTCCTGAGAAATCCGAATTTGTTGCACTTCTCATGGAAACACCCCCGTATCTTCCGTAATAATTCAAATAGATTTTTTTTTTGGTTTTGACATCAAAACATGAACGAAATTGTTTAGGAGAAACTCGACTTTTGTTTTCACATAAATAATTTATTTTTTATTTTGGTATCAGGAAAGTTATTCCTTCTCAATAAGAGAAAAAATGGTAATTTTGTAAGAGGAACGGAAACATATAATCAGTGAGGTTTCAGGATGGTTAATGTTAGTTCATATTCTCATTTTCCCATAATTAAAAAAAAGGATATTTTGTGACGAAAAATGTTATGTAGTTCAAAATTCTTTCGAAGCACTACTTTCAAAATCACATTTTCAATTAAAAAACAAAACAATCAATTTCAAATGATGCACCTGTTGACAATTTTATATTTTCGTGCCTTCTATGAAATTTCCCTCCAATCGAACACATTTTTTAATACGCCTTCTATTATTTCCTCCAACTCTCCTCAGTTCTATAGGTGTGACTTTTCTTGCACAGAGATCTTCCTTATTTGTTGGCCTTTCCTGATAAACTTTATTTTTCAATTATCCCCATAAATTAAAATCCAATGGAGTCAAATCAGGGGATCGTGGTGGCCATACTACGAGAGGGCTATTGGGTCCTATCCATTTCATAGGTAGATTCCTATTCAACCAAATCCTTGTTATGCCACATTGTGAACTGATGAACTATCTAACTGAAAAATCATGCTGTGTCTCACATCCAAAGGTAGTTCTTCCAACACGTCAGAAAATGCATTTTCGAGAAAATCAACAAATAGTCGTCCGTTTAAATTTTGATCGAAAAAAAATGGCCCGATAATATTTTTGTTCAGGATACCACACCACACATTAACTTTCTGAGATATTTGGTCTCTACAATTCACCACCCAATTTGGATTTTGTTCAGCTCAAAACCTCATGTTCTGGAAAGATATAACACCATTCGTGGTAAAGGTAGCCTCATCACTGTATAAGATATACTTTAAAATATTCCTGTCATTGAGATAATTTTCCTGCATCCATAAACAATACTCCATACGGCGGATTTCATCTCCTTCGTGCAAAGTATGTGAAAATTTGGGTTTGAACGCATGCATTTCATGCATTTTTAAACACTTCCATATTTTACTGCAGCTCATATTGAGTTGAATCGATAAGTTTCTCTAACTAATTCTAGGATCAGCTTGATGAGCCGCCAATATCGTATCATCATCAATATGACGTTTTACAATATTTCTGTCCTTTGTTACTTGGCCGGTGCTCACGGATAGATTATACATTTTATGTACAGTTCCAGGGTGTACAACTACCTCTAGCCGGTGTCTTTTAATAAATTCAGCGGCTGCTTCACGATTAGACCTTACCCCTTCACCAACAATTTCAATTTTTGCTTGAAGTGACAGACGTGCCATGTTGAACTTGGTCAATCAAAATGAGCTGATATCAGTTAAAATGAGAACTTCAGAAATATTAAAATATGAACAGGAAGTCACGAACAGAAAACAACTTGAACTCAGGAACAATGAACACAATGGGAACCAAAGTACGACAGAAACAACAGGAATAACGGTGATTCAAAGAACAACAATACTAGAAACAACAAATGCAATGAAAACTGGTCTGAGGGTAATACAACAAGATCTTTCAACAATATTGTCAGGTTAACAGTAAATATCAATAAGCAACTGTTTCACATGGTGATTTCAGGGCACCGCATGATTCAATGAAACTGATGTAATTCATTCCCTTCAAATGATTTCAGACAACAATTCAGCAAGTAGGTAAAATAATCTAAATTCTACCTGGTCACCGAGTGCGATTTTTTCTTTAGAAATTAACAGTTGTTTTGGTGTTGCAATGAGTATGAAGAATAATTTTGTTTTGTATGGTGAAATGTTTCCTCAATATTTTGGAATTTTGATGAAATTTTGATATGTTGTAGTTCTTGATGTGCTGATTGAAAGTGTCCACAGCCAAAGCTCAGAATTGTACAGTTTTCGAGATGTGAACCTGTGAATATAGATTTTTTTCAATTTTTTGCAGTTTTTGCTCATCAATCGAGAGCTCTCACTTCTGTTCGGGATAGAATTTGAATGTTCAGCAATCAGAATTAGTTTTACGAATAATCTTCTTCAGTTATAATAGATGCCGCCATCGATAATTTTTCATACACTGCTTCACACTATCTCCATAATCTGAGAATCCTCAGATATGCTCAAAATGGATGATAGCATCTCACAGCATCTGTATCTTTCATACCTGAGAGTACTCTCCAGATAGAATGAAGGGGCTCAGGTATTGGAAGCGAACTATTTTGCGCCGTAATATGTTTTAGCTAAAAATGGAGTGTTCTATCGCGAGTGGCGGACAGTGTATATCACTTTGGCTAACCCCATTCAGGTGGTAGGTGCATTTTGAGCATTTCCATCAGTCCTGAGAGTTTCATCGTTCCACCTCGAATATTACGGAAGATGCGGGGGCGTTTCCATAAGAAGTGAGACAAATTCGGCCTTTTCAGAACTGAAATTTTTCCAGGAAAAACGTGTATTCGTAGTGAGTTGGTAGTCCTGATCTCGAATCTGAAGGAATTTTGAGCCTATTTTACCCCCTGATATGTTTTACCGTAAAAATGGGGTTTTCCATCGCGAGTGGCGGACAGTGTATATCACTTTGGCCAACCCCATTCAGGTGGTAGGCGCATTTTGAGCATTTCCATCAGTCCTGAGAGTTTCATCGTTGTACCTCGAATATTACGGAAGATACGGGGGTGTTTCCATGAGAAGTGAAACGCACTGTATTCTTCTTAAAGTTTATCAAATTTAAAGTTTATTGTCCTCATAGGAGGAAAACTGCAGTAACAGTAGTTACAAATTATAGTGATAGAAAACATAGAAAGTTTCAATTCTCTTCTCTCTATTATGATTTCCACACCACATAGTTACGTTACGTTTATTACATTCTTTGATTTTTTCATTTACATCGGAATATTACAAGTTGTAGGAGAAAAAAAATAGTAGTATTATAGATACATACCTACAAGAACAGATTACATAATAATATTCAAATTGTCTTCACATTAAAGGACTCAGCCTATAAACTGTTGATTTCTACTGAATGTTATAACTCGAAAGTGTCATTTTGAGTCAGAAAAATATAATATTCTGTCAATTTATAGTTATTTGAGCTTATACTACAAGTGGTAAAAATAATAATTTCAGAGGTTTTTTGGGAAGCTGCATAAACAGATTCAAAGTGCGCCATAGATTTGGCAGCAATTATTTGGGCCTTCAAATTTCTACTCCTTGTAATTGCATAGGAATACCGGTTCAAGTGGAAAATAGTATATTCTTCAATTTCACATAAGATTTGATTAACTACAAGTGGTAGAAAATTATGATTTTAGAGGTTTTTCGGGAAGCTGCATAAACAGATTCACAGCGCGTCATAGCTTTGGCAGCAATTATTCAGGTCTTCAAATTTCTACTCCTTGCAGTTGCATAAGTTTACAAAAGTTTCGAGTAACTACAAGTGGTAGAAAAATGTTTTTTGCGTTTTCTTTAATGGTATGGAATTCATAACCAGCTTCATCAATCATAGAAGGCTGTGATCATAGTATTTTGACAGTTCAAACCATTGAACAAACTCGATTTCTGTTGCAATGAAGAATATTGCGCAGCCAGTAAAACCAACAAAATTTTTTGTTTGGAACATGAATCGATTTGAAAATCACAATATCAAAAGTTTTATGAAGAATAGAATAAATTAAAATAAAACACATAGTTACTTTCATTATAGAACAAAATAAACTTTCTAGGCAAAAATACGAATCGAATGACACCTTGGTCGTAATTTTTGGACAGGGCTGAAAAATTTCACCAAAAAGAGCTAAATCGAGTACATTTGAACCAGATTACATCCACTATAAATCAGCCTGTATATGTGTTTTCAAATTCATCTACCATGAGATTTTTGTTAACATTGTTGCTTACAAGAGGTTATAAGGTCGATGGTGAAATTCATATATTTCAATAAATCATTGGGACAACGGAAAACTAGAGGCATTTCCTGAGGTATTTCCTGATATTTGAAATCAATGCTGCCTCACAGAAAATCGTCAGTCGCGGATGAAAGGTTTTAATTTCATCAACCGTACTTTCATATAGTGAATCAATATGAAGAACAAAAGTCCATTAGCACCTTCCAAAGGAATGTAGCACATTTACTGACTTGCCTACCATTAAATATCAAAAACTAGTTTATCATTCAAACTTACATAACATATTGTTTCAGACCCGAACAAAAAAAGAAAGAATTGTTCAAATATTGAAATGCTTCGGAGGTATTCGATCAAGGAACAATAGGGATGTTGATATTTATTTGTCTTGCTCTGGTCTTGGCAGTTTCTACTCGAGCAGGTGAGTAAGCACATTCATTTTGTCAATTATGTTGAGTGAGTGTTTTGAGCTGTATATGGTTTGCTTCATCAGGTTCCTATAAATCAGCGGTTCCCAACCTTTTTTCACTGCCGTACCCCTTGAGATAAATTTATTTCAAATTGTACCCCTCAAGAAAAAAAAGTTGCAAGAACATTAATCATGGAAAGTAAATATTTACGCAAGAGTTTTTTTTTATCTTTTATTTGACAATAAAGTTATTGTTCCAAAATTCGGCCTATATATGTTTCTAGTAAACTTAGTAAATTCTAATTACCAACAGTAAAAAAATAATAACAAAGTAAATACAATGTTTCTTATCACGAAAACATAATAGAATTAGCAGTACGCCAGTACCGTACTGTACTTTTCAACCACCACGTACGTAACGTACGACAAACACATAAAAACACATAAAGTCCGCCATTACCAAATATTTTCGGCGTACCCCCAACCAGGTCGTTGCTTACCCCCAAGGGGTACGCGTACCCCAGGTTGGGAAACGCTGCTATAAATGAAAAATTATTTTTTATTGATTTTTTGCATCAATATCACTGAGTAATATAGGTATATTCTGAAACATGTGATGTTTTCGATAAGTCCATTGTGACAAACTTCTTCTCGTTCATTGATGTTAGCTCAGGATTCATTTGGCTGAATTCTGTTCATGTGTAATAAATAATTTCTCGAGAACTTAGTTTGAATAATCGATATTTGCACTAATTTTGAAACATGTTCTGAAACATCGTCGATAACTATTTGTAAATTCCTTATTGAACTAACTAAACTGTTATAAGTTTGATAATTATACTGCTACCTAAAACCAAACTCTTAAAAATATAATGTTTCCAGAAGTAGTGACCTTAATAAAAAAAAATTTATGATTCAGATTCAGGAACATGACATCTTGAACATTTTTCATCATCTTTCAATTTATTGAGTGATGTACAGGGGGTTTCTTTGAAAAAATAACCTTTTGACCCCACGTTTATGCATAATGGAAATTGTGTGTCATGGCTTCGACTGAGAAGGTTGTTCTAGCAGCTGAGCTCAATAAATTGACAAAAAGTGAGATTATCGATCTAGTTATATCTAAAGTTCTACCTGACAGTGATTCAGAAAATCTGATTTTGAAAAATTTTCTCAGTGACTTATCCCGTAGTGCCGAATTAGTGGAAAATCCCAGATTCGTCAACAGTAAAATAGCTAACTGTTCTGAATCTCAATGCTTATTGACCTCTAGAAAATGTCAGCATTCTGATCGTGAGTTAATACTTCTCAAGAAATTATGTGATCAAATGACAAAAAGATTTCAAGATCAAGAAGAAATAATATTTCTCGTAAAACAACAGATAGCCAATTCTGTTACCTCAATAGTCTAGTTCACATTTACTTTTTTTTGTAACTTTTTCAGCCCTGTCCAAAAATTACGACCAAGGTGTCATTCGATTCGTATTTTTGCCTAGAAAGTTTAAGGAAAGGTCCGAAAACGCGCCGATAAAAATAACAAAAGTTTAAATAACTAATAGGACTACAACTTCAGTAAAAAGCTTAAATTGTTAATAAATTCATAATGAACAAAAAAGACTTGAAGCATATTTATCATAACTGCAATAGTTTGAATGTTATTATAATTATAAAAGCGAAGGAGCGAATGAAAAAGACAAGTATCAAGATATCACAATATTAAAAGTTTTATAAAAAATAGAAT